CCTAGAAAAAGGAAGACTAGAAGAAGAAAATTGAGGATCAATAGAGATTGAACTTGTAGTTATCAGCTACTTCGCAAATGTCAGGTAACTCAGTGCTTCGTTATATATAAAATACATCTTAGTGTCTAATTGTTTTTACTAATGGGGTATGTTGTATTTGAGGAATTTTGATGCCATGATATTTATTTATGCATTTTAGACGCTGCTGGTTCCAAGCTTTTAGGGGTGTGTGTGTGTATAAATTTCTCTTTCATAATCATGATATTTAATTTTTCCTTACATGCAGTAGATTACTGAGGTGATCTCTGTCTCTTTAAAATGCCAGTCATGTGCTCAATTTCTAATCAATGCCATGCGTGCTTGGGAATATTCATGTAAAAAGTTGGCTTTGCCCATTAAGGATTGTATGGTATGATAATATACGCATGTTATGTGTGTATATATATATATATATATATATATATTTTGGGGAGAGTTCATATACAAGTTTACATGTATTAGTATAATATGTAATATATAATATAAAATGTGTTTGTTGTGCATTAATACAAGTTTACATATGTGTCGTGTATGAGAAGGTTTATTTTTCTAGTTTTAATCGTTTGGGTTGGTCTATGTAATTTTGAGGATATTCAAGGAAATTATCAATCAAAATTTGTTAAAAGCCAGATTGGATTGACTGTTTCCGCTGATGATTCATCAACCAATCTAATCTTGAACAACTGCCAAATTGAACATGTAATTGGATTGACTTGGATTTATATATCATAAGTATATCATAGTAGCTCAACAAAAGGTTTATTTTTTATGTCTCAATGTATATACTTTTTCCAATCCTATATATAAATTATCTTTTAAAAAGAATTGATGATATTTTTCATAAATTATTCTGTATAAAAAATAGATAATTAATTAATTTATTCTAATTTTACCTCTTCATATTTTTTTTGGCATGGGTAGAGTAAAATGTTACATATGACATGACATTTAATAAATGTAAAATGAAAAATTGTTGTCCTTTTGAGATAATATTAATAGGTCAAATGATAAAAAATATTTAAAAATTATCAATCAAGAACATTTAATAACCTAAACTTAAAAAAAAAAATTCCACAAATATCCAGTAAACAATCAAAATGTAGTAACTAGACAAGAATTTACACCACGTATATGTTAGAACCTAAATAATTGATAAGAGAGATAAATATTTATTTAAGTTTGAACAATATACAAACTAGATAAAGAGAAGAGAATCTTCAAGTTATGAGTGTAATGACCTTAAAGTTAAAAAAAAATCCTCCTAATTTTATTTTATTTATATTAATTTTATGGCAAATGACGAGGGGTGAGTTAGTGAAACTTATGCTAATAGCTTATTTAAAAGTTTAACATTTAAATTTTTTTTAGAAATAGATTAATTTTATTTAGTTTAAGATTGTATAAAAATTACCAAAGTGCCCATATCTTTGATGTTATTAAAAAAAATATTGGGTCCTCTCTTATAATTTTTACAATTTCTTAAAGTTCATATTTCTATTCTCCTCACTCGGTCAGATGCGCACGGAACGCGTCATTTTCTTTCCTTCTCCTCCTTCACATTTTTGAAAAATCCAGAACCACCGCCTCTGCTCTTCTTCAATTCCAGCATGTCCACAGCATTCTCCATCCTTCCTCTTCAGTCTTCAATGTCGCTAGCATGGGAATGTTAAGAGTGCGTCGCTCGTTTTTGCTACCGTGAGTTTCCCTCTTCCCCTGTGCTGCACCGATTTCCCTTCCCTTTTCCTTCTGCAGCATCACCCTTCCTACTTCACTCATCTGACAGCCATCGATGATTGTGTCAAAGTTATACTCGCGCAACCTTCTCCTTCCTCCTCTGTCCGAGCAATAGCTTGGATGCATCAGAATTCTTCCTCCCCTGTTCTGTCTATTGCTGAAGCATCCTTCGAAAATCTCTCCCTCGACCACTCCTTCCTCTTCAATCCTTGCTTCCTTGTGGGTGTGGGATAGACCCTCTTCTTTTTTCCAATGGTTATGCAACTATTTTCCTCTTTTTGCTTCTGCCGCTGCTGATCAAAGGTAAGGAGCTTTGAACTCCCTTCTTGTTGCGGGTCTGTTGGGGTGTGTGTTCTTAGATTTCAGAAATTATGATTTTTCCTCTTGCTTTGCTGCTGTGCAAGTCGAATAGAGGAGGAGGGGTTTAGGCAAACTGGAATTTTTTAAATTTTGAAAGCTAAGTGCACTGTAAATTTGAATTCTAATTGAGTTTATTATTATTATTTGTTTAAAAGAATGAACTATAGGAAGATTGGTTAACTTAAATATTGACAGTGAAAGAGTTTTGAAAGGATATTAAGAAAAAGAGGTTGGGTATTTGTTTGAATTTAGATGCTATAAGATGTTTGACAAAATGCTTGAAAGAAAGTTGGAATTAGAAGGTGTGATTTTGAGGAGAATATTTTCATTGATAGTTCAACTACTAAATTGCTAGTTATGTATTAATTTTTGGAATATCTACTGAATGTTGTGGAATTGTAGGAAGCCAAATAAAATTTTATTGTATATTAAGGAAATTGGAAGAAAAATGAATTTGTTATTACGATTTAAAAAATAGTGCCTACAGGATATTTAAGAGAACGTCTGTTAGAATAAGTTTTTGTTTGGTTATAAACTTTTTAAAATATTATTAACTTTTCTAAGGACATATTTGATTTAAATGTTAATTTTTGCATGGATTTAACTTCATTTTGTAAAGAATTCTTATTGTGAAGCTATTGTGATAAAAGTTGAGTTTTGAAAAATGACATGGTTGATAAGTATAAATGATAATGTTGTTTTTGGACTTGATTTTTAGGGAATGCACCTAAGGTGCTTGATAAAATGAGTAATAGAACTTTGAAAAACTTAAGTGATCATAGTGCTTTTGATATTATAAAAGAGTTTATTAAATTTGAGTAAAGATCATTGAATTATCTTTTATACTGAATAGGGTGTTTAGAAGAAGGAAGATTTGACTTTAAAAAGTGAAATTGCATTTGAAAATATTACAGGTAAGTGAATAGCATTCCAATTGATTTTTTCAATCAAAATTTCCTTTACTAAAATATTACGTTTTTCTGCAAATCATTTTAATAGCAATAATGTGATTATTAAATATTTGTTAATTAAAATTATTTTATTTTGAGAAATTAACTTTATCATATTTGAAATGTTATTTGATCAATTAAAACAAGTTTGAACTTTGATTATGAGATTTTTATTTTATCAAATATTGGATTGATACAGAAAATAATTCATGCGAGTTCAACTTTAAAAATGAAAACTTTGTTTATTATTGATAATTTTCTCACATGTTTAAAATTGAATTTGAAAGGGACTTATTACGGAACACCGGTTGCTAGCGGCAATTCCGTTAGTCTTTAGCAAGCCATAGTTAATGACTAGCTAGTTTGATTTTCGTGAACTTTGTTTTCACATTTGTTATTCGTGAGTCTCGTACCTACATTTGTTTTCATGGCTTTAAACCGCCTTTGGTTAACATTACCCTTATAGATTGTGTGTCTATGTTTGTTTCGTACTTCAACTGCGTTTGGTTACTTATCCTTATGAACTATGTGTCCACGTTTGGTTATTTACTCTCATAGACTGTGCATCCACGTTTGTTACTTATTCTGATAAGTCCCTATAAATACGAATTTGATTACTTGGTGATTTTATATCTTGTTGGATTTAATTAGTAATTTATTTAATATTTATTTATTTTGTTTATTTGCTTATTTGAAAGCAAGTGATAGTGACATTTGATATAAAAATTAAATGGTTCAAAATTTCGTCTAAGGTTATATAAAATTTCTTTTATTTCAAAATTTATTAATTTTTTTATAAAAATCATTGTCTCTTTAACTTGCATAGTTGCTTCAAATTTTCCTTATTTTATGTTCAATTATTTATCATTAGAATATTATTCACTGAAAAATTATTTTGATCTTAAATAGCATAGCTGATATTGTACGTCATGTGGTACACTGAGGGACTTTTTGCTGAGATGAGTGGAGATCTGTTGTGTAAATATCTCCTACTTATTTAAATATAAAATTTATGTATTATGTCATAAAAAATATAATTAGGTGCTCCAAATAGATTATATTTAGGATCCATATTTTGTTAAATATTTTGTCTGCTAGCTCAACGGAATTGAGCTCTTGATTAAAATGATCTCTTGTATAAAATATTGTGTTACAGAGTTTTTGAGAGATTCTATTTACAGAAAAATTTTTGCTGAAATTCCTACAAAAGAAAATATTTAAAATTTTATTAATACAAAAATGGTCATGTATGTTAGAAATTAATATAAATATAATTATATTTTAGTAATGGAAAGATTTCTTAATTTAGGACTTAAGTAATATGTGATGTGATTCACATTCTGTGCCGGTCACCCTCTATTTTTGAGGTATGACAATGAGCCAGGAAAATATTTATGTCTAGTCCATATAATGTCTTACAGCTACAAAAGAAAAAAAAAAAAAAAAACATAACACAACAACTCAGCATTCTAAAGACAAGAAACATAAACTGCATAAATAAAAGTTTGACAGAACATAAGTTGTCATCCAACGTGAACAAATACCTTATCAAATTACTTCATTACTGCATTCTGACTGAATTCTTTCTTGGCCTTTTTATAAACTAACAATGGACTCTTATCAGTATATAATTAATAATGCGGGTAATTAGTTATAAAAATAAAAAAAATATTGAAAGTAGCTCTATCTGTCAGACAAATGTTAGTTTGCTACTTGAAAAATTTATTTTTAATCACTTTCTTAAATTATCATAACGGTTGTCTCAATTAATGATGCTAACGTTATTTATCAATTCAAGAAGTTAAAAAAAAAAAATTAGAAAGAAACAGCCAAGCGGTCAGTGTCCGTACTCCGACTAGTTGCAAGGTAAGCAAAAGCAATTAAGCAACGGAAACTACACAATTGTCCTTCGCACAGAGACACAGAGAGGGAGAGAGAGAGAGAGAGGGAGAGAGAAATCCAACTTTATTATCCATTCACGCGGCTTTGAGATTATTCCGCGGATGAAAGAAAAGAAGCTCTATTATTATTCAACGCTAGACTCTTCTGTGCTCTCGTTCCCAAAAAAACTTTCTTGATTTCTTCTACTGATCTCCCCGGATTAGCATACCAGAAACCATGGCTGCGGGGGTTGTGGGTGGAGCATTTCTCTCTGCTTCTCTTCAAGTTGTTTTTGATAGGCTGGGCCCTACTTCTAATATATACAACTACTTCCGATCAAGAAAGCTCGAGGATCGATTGCTTAAAAAGCTCCACGTCACCCTCATCTCTGTCAATCAAGCGCTTGATGATGCAGAAACAAAGCAGTACACAAACTCTAATGTCAAGAAGTGGCTTTATGAGCTCAAACATGCTGTTTTTGACGCTGATGACCTCTTAGATGAGATTGCTACTGAGGCGACCACGTTGAAGATCGAAGCTGAGAATCAAGGTGCTACCAATAAGGTACGTCGCTTCACTTCTTTTGTTAGTCAATTTTACAAACACATGGTAGATAGAATCCAGGAAGTGCTTGACGTCCTGGAGTTCTTTGCAAAGCAAAAGGACGTTTTGGGATTGAAGGAAGGCTCTGGGGGTGGTAGGGAAGTTGAAGTTTGTGGGAAAGTATCCTTTAGATTGCCAACTACATCTCTGGTGGCTGATGAGTCCCGCATATATGGCAGAGATGGTGATAAAGAAGAAATAATTCGTCTTTTACTCCATGAAGATCTGAGCAGGGACCCACTATTTGTGATTTCTGTAGTGGGCATGGGTGGGTCGGGAAAAACCACTCTTGCTCAACTGGTGTACAATGATGGGAGAATGAAGGATCAATTTCAACTCAAAGTTTGGGTGTGTATTTCAGAAGAATTTGATGTTCTTGGAATTACAAAAACAATACTTTCTGCACTTGAATGTTCAATAACAGGATGTGAAGATCTAAATCAGCTTCAATTGAAACTGAAAGAGGAATTGACGGGGAAGAAATTTTTTCTAGTTCTTGATGATATCTGGAATGAGCACAGATCTAATTGGGAATTGTTACAAGTTCCTTTTTGTTTTGGGGCTTCTGGAAGTAAGATCCTTGTTACTACACGTAGTGAAAAGGTAGCATTGGTCATGGCCTCTGTTAGAGTGCATCACATAGCTTTATTAAATGAAGAAGATGGATGGAAGTTATTTGTGGAACATGTGTTCAAAAACAAGGATGCTAGCTTGTGTTCAGATCTAGAGTCAATTGGCAAAAAAATTGTTCAAAACTGCAAAGGGTTGCCTCTAGCCATAAAATCATTGGGTGATCTCTTGCATACAAAGTTATCGCAGAAATATTGGAATGAAATTCTTGGCAGTGAGATTTGGCAATTACCAGATGATGAGACCAATATAATGCCAGCTCTAAGACTAAGCTATCATTATCTTCCTTCTAATTTGAAGAGGTGTTTTGCATTTTGTTCTATATTTGCTAAAAACTTTGAAATTGACAAGGAGTCTTTAATCCAAATGTGGATGGCAGAGGATTTGATACATTGCAATCAAGGAAATAAAATTGTGGAGGAAATGGGGGATGGAATTTTGGATGAACTAGAATCAAGGTCATTTGTTGAGAAATCAAGAAGAAATGATGACAAATTAATCATGCATAACCTCGTAAATGATTTGGCGAAATCAATCTTCGAAGGATTTTGTTTGAGGATGGAGTGTGATAAGGTGCAAAATAATATTAATGAAAAGATACGCTGTTGTTCAAACTCAAGTTTAGCCTGGGGCCACGAAATATCATTGGAACCTATTTATGAGCGTGAGCAGTTACGGTGTTTTGCTCAACTACCACAAGTGGAATTGCCCATTGGTATTGTTGAAATGTTTTCAAGATTTAAGCACTTGCGAATTTCGGGCTTAAAGTGTGTTGAAATTAAATTAAGTGATGGTATATGCAATTTAAAGCAACTTCATTATTTAGGCCTCTCTCATTGTAGAATTGAAAAGTTACCGAATTCAATTTGCACTATGTATAATTTGCAAACTTTGAAATTGTACTATTGCACTCAAATTGTTGAGTTGCCTCAGGATTTGTACAAATTGATCAATTTGCATTATTTAGACCTTTCTTGTACTGGGATTAGAAAGTTACCTGATTCAATTTGTAAGGTGCATAGTTTGCAAATATTGAAATTGCAATGGTGTAAGTTTAGGGTTGAATTGCCACTAGTGTCACACCTAATCCTAAGAGTGTGACCGGCACAGAATATGAGATAATCTCATATTCCCTAAGCCTTAATTTATCCAACCATTAAGCTATAATAGTGATAAATAAATTATATTGATCAATAAATTATATAATATATGTGCATATGTATGATTATAAAGTTCATAAAGTCTTAAATATTCAATGAAAATTTTGGCAGAGCCGCTCTTATAACTAGAACATCCCAAATTTTTTATAATCAATAAACCTATCAGCTAATCCAAAAAAAAGTTTAGCTCCACACTAGCAGATTACATGATAAGAAAATAGGACCAAAACTTAACTATAATATACTTGGAGCATTAAGTACCATTGTATAATATAATGAATATTTGCATTAAAATAAATGATTAAAGTATGCTTCCACTATCCAAAAAACAAAAACAAAAAAAAAATAATAAAGCCCCTCAATGATTAGTAAGAGGTGCAAGGTCAACTACATTATTTGAGACAAAAAATTTTTTTGGTGTGTAGCATCCTAATAAAAATTATAGATAAAACATGTAAAAGTAACAAATTATGGAGTATTAAAACTCATATTTTACTAACAATAAATGACAAAGTTACTCAATAATGTAATCATGAACTAAACCAATAATTTTAAAATTTCATAATTTATCAATAATTGTATAACTCATAAAATTATATAAAAGAAAATCAATGATAAAAAAATGTTTGCAAATAAATAATATAAAACAATGAATTTTTTTTAAAAAAACTAATTTAGGAGGAAATTCACCATATAAAATCATATACGATCAAACAATAGTTTGTTTTAATAAAATAAATTTAAAAATAATAAGTTTTTAAAAATTTACTTTTAGTGAGACTTTATCATAATGATTAACAAATATGGACACACAGTCCACGAGAGCAAATAATCAATAAACACGACTTAAAGCCATGAAATAATCAAGCATGATTAGAAACCATGAAACAAGCATAGGCACGAAGCCCATGAAGCAAGCATGAGCACGATGTTCGCGAATATTCATCCTTTCATTCCACGTGCATTGGCCTGCGCACGGAGCTAATACTTCCTACAAACACTTTACTAGCTAGGTGTACCATGATGCACCAAGAGCTAACGGAACTGGTATTAGCATCTAGCATTCTAAACTCAATCCCCCTAATTAAAATCAAACATACATGGAGTTGAAACATTTATTGAAAACCATTCTTTTCAAAATATAATATTCGACTATCATATTTTCTTGTTAATTTTCTCCATACATGAATCACCATTTTTTATATGTAATATAAATCATAAAATTTAAACAACAAAAATGTTTAGAATAAATATTCTGTTACTAATGCACTAGATCAAATACTCTTTAACAGTAGCATAATTCTTAATGAATATAAAGCAGATTCCATAATAACCAGCTAATATAAAAGTTAGGCAAGTAAAAAAAATTGTATGAATCCTAAAATTAAAATAGATAAGAATATCTATACAATTTATAAAGGAATAATGTAAACATATAAATAAAGAAATTTTATAAACACTTTGCAAAAAATTATTTAGGACACTACCCACTCACCTGAAAATTTTCTTAAATTTTAAAACTTGCATCTCTTAATTTTTCTCTTTAATTCTAGAGATGCTCTTAATTTCCTGACAAATAAATCATAATTCTAAAATTATTTATCAAGTAATTTTTCAACACTTAGTAAACATTCAAATTCGATTTCCAAACAATATAACGACCTGAAATATACAATTTATAAATTCATTATCAATTAATTAACTTATTAACAAGTCAATTAAAACAAGAGACAATATTTCCTCCTCTTTCTGTACCCTCAGTAAAATTTAATGAAATGCCACAACCATCATTTACTTTAACATGATCTACCTTAGATATTTTAGAATTCCAAGTTAATTAGTGACTCAAATCACTATTTAAGCATGTTCCTTCAACTAACAATATAGAAATTGAACTCTTACATTCCATCAAATTCTTCTTTCATACATATCAAGCTTAGCACCACATTATCTATAGACCTAAACACACACATAAACTTCACTAAACTTCTATATAAAAATTAGTCACTTTAATTCATCTAAATTATTCTTTCGATCATTTTAACAATTAAAATATACTTGAGTCAAATGAACTATTTGATATATTTTAATTCATTCTTATACTTTCTTATAATTCATCTTCAATCATAAATCATATCAATTATTCTTATGCTTTCTTTAAACTTAACAAAGCAGCATACAAACACTCTATATAATCCTTAATCTGATATTTTAAAATTTCAATTAATAAATCAAGCCATTTCTTGCACATAAACTTTTTCAAGTTAAATTATAGCAATTTAACAACATTATTTTTACAAATTTTTTCTCTCAAACATTTCTACAGACATCTTGAGTGCATCTCAATTTTACTCACAATAATCAATCAACCATTTAATCAATTTCTAGCATTAATTCTGTCATCAATATTCAACCCACCACCAATTTAGGATAATGCATAGTATCAACCGAAACTACCACTCAGCTTCAGAAAAATTCATGACAGCAACCGAGGGGAACAGGGGCGCACTCTTCGGCCAAGGAAGAAGGAGAATAGACGTTGCTATTGAAACCGAAGGAGAAGGAGAAAGAATCAGTGTCTTACCCCCAACCAACGTGCAGTGGAGCTGCCACTGTTTAGCTCCCGAACCACACCGAAAAAGACAAGGAGAGTTTCAATCCAGCTGCTCAACGAGGAGGGGAAACAGAAATTTCAGACCAGAAAAAGAAAATGATTTGAGCTTGCTATGCACACACAAACGTCCAGCGGTTGAAGGGAAGAAAATAGAAACGCTGAACACGCACCCGTACAAACCTGAAAGAGTAGAGAACGATCACAGCAGAACCAGCGTCTTCACACTTACAGCGGCCAACCACAACGGTGAGGACAGCTCAAGTCGACGGCAGCCAAGAAATCAACAACAAGGACAAGAGAGAGACGGCTCGACGCTGAAGAATGAGGGGACTCAAGGTCGGTGAACAGAAGGAAGAATGAACTCTCCCGAAGCTCTGTTTTTTCGCACGGGAAGAAGTGTAAAAATCTGATATAAAAATAATAGAAAAAAATTATAAAAAAGAACCACAAATTTTTTGTTAACATAAAAAATAAGAGCAATTTTAGTAATTTCTTCAGAATTAAAACAAAGTAAAATTAACCTATTGCTTTAAAGAATTCAAACTCTAGACCTTTAAATAAATTATTATTATAAGTTTTACTAAACCACCACTCTTCATTTGCTGTATAACCAGAACAATTAAATAAAATATCAATTGAAAAAAGAAAAGAAAAAGAATTATTTAATTTAAAATTTAAAGTCATTACAATCAGATTTGCACAATCTCAGCAATCTTTGAAATCTTGATATGGTTGGGACTAATATAACGAAGATGCCAATGAACACTGGAAGGATGAAACATCTTCAAGTATTGACAAGGTTCTATGTGGGAAAGCAAAATAGGTTCAATGTTTGGGAGTTAGAAAATCTCAATTATCTTCTAGATAGCCTTAAGATTTCAAAGTTAGATAACATCAATGATCAAATGGATGCCGAGGACGCCAATATGAAGGAGAAGAATTACTTGAATGAATTAATTTTAAAATGGAGTGGAAACAATGATGATTCACAAAATGAAAGGTCTGTTTTGGAGGTCTTTCAACCTCATAGAAACTTAAAAGGTCTTGTTATTAGAAACTATTGTGGCACAAGATTTGCGGACTGGATGGGTGCTCCTTATTTACTTAATTTAGTATCTCTTGAGTTGATGACGTGTAAATATTGCTTTTGCTTACCACCAGTTGGGCAAGAGTTTTACGGGCAGAATTTGTCAATTGCTCCATTTTTATCCCTTAAATATTTGAAAATTGAAGATATGTGGGAATTGGAAGAATGGAAGCATTTTGAAGGTGAATGTTTTCCTCGCCTTAATGCAATTTATATAAGAAGGTGTTCGAAACTTGAATGGATCTTTCTTTCTAAGATGACCCATCTGAAGTCACTTCATGAAGACATGCATGCACAGCTCCCTTGTCTTCATTCTTTATGGCTATATGGCTGTCCACAGCTGCAATTGGTTCCTCAAAGACGCTTTCCTTTAAGCCTTGTCAAAATTACAATAAATGATTATCTGAAGCTCATAGCTTCTCATATGAGCTGGGGTTTGCACAGGCTTCATTCTCTACAAGACTTATATGTGGGTTGTCATGATTTTGAAAATGCTAAGTCTTTTTTGGAAGAGTAACAGTTGCCGCCAAACCTTACATCTCTTCAACTTATTAAATGTTCAAAGTTGACAAAAATAAACAACAATGGCCTTCTCTCCCTCACATCCCTTCAAGTCTTATATATTAGGGATTGCCCAAATATTCGATGCTTGCCGGGGGAAGGTTTACCGAACTCCCTTTCTTCAATATCTATTGAAGGAAAAAGTCCATTACTGACATAAAATTTCTCACATTCCACATGTGTATATAGAGTAGACGGGACTGAATTCCCTTCCAGGTAATTTTTTTACCTTCCACACTAATAAGTTGATTTCATTGTTTTGACATTTATACTATTTTTTACAAAAAACAGTAAGGGCACCATATTTTGTAGTCTACTCAAAATCCACAAAAGTGTCATTGTAATTTTTTTTTACATGGGAATCTGAAACTCAATAAGCTCCTAGTCTCTTAGTTTTAATCCTAGGATTAAAGATTATTCTCCCCATTAAAAAATATAAAGCATTTTTAATTGAATCTCACCTCTCAATAAAGTAATTACTTGCTTTTAAACTAACTATATCTTTTTATATTTACCCCTATTAAACACTTTATAATAAATATAAAGTCATTTATCAATAAGATCACTTTTTTTTTAAAAAAAGGCAATGATTACACCTTTAAAAATTAAAAATATCTTACATTTTTTTAATATTTAATTCTTCAAAAATTGCCTTATATTTTTTGAACGGAAGGAGTATATAGTTTTTGTTTAGGACTTTAAATTACTTGTTTGGTTCTGTCTATTCACTTTTTATTTTTTTTGTTTTTATTCTTTATTAAGTTGAAACTTAGTTTTTTGACAAATATATAAAAAGAATTATTTGAAAAAATATAATTACTATCATTGAAAATATGTTCTTTATAAAACTAATATTAGAATAAAAATAATTTTTAAAAAGTTGCATATGTTCAATAACTATCGATTACTTTTACATGATATTAAGTTAAAAAATAAATTTTAAATTTTGAAAGGGATTAAAACAATTATAATGACAAGAAATGTTTAAAAAAGACCATAAAATATTTTAGTTCATGATAAATCTCAACAACAAAAAATACCATAAAATAAATATAATTTTAAAAAATGGCATTTGTTTGGGTTGGAGTACGTCCTAATGGGTCGGGTAAGGCAGGGTTCATTAAGCATTGGGAAAATGTGCACAGCCTACCTATAAATAAGAAGCCTTGCACTATCCAATGTCTTCCCAATAAAATATTGTTTCTTTTGTATTGAAAAAAAATTTGTTTATTTCTTAGATAGTTTTATTTTAAAATAATATTTCAATTTTAATTCTTAATTTTTTACTTTTTTTAATGAATCTAAATTTTAAATTAAATAATTTTTTTAATGAATATTTTATTTAAATAAGTTTAATAACAAATGAAAAGTCACAGTTTAATAGAAGTTATGTTAGCAACTTTTTAAGATTTAAAGTTTGAATTCTACAAAAAAATTAATTTTATTTGGTTTAAATTACAGAAAAAATTTATCTTTTCTTATAATTTTCCTTGTGCCAAGTTTCCCAAATTCCCAATGTTAAAGATATTTTTCTCTTTCTCCTCTGCCATTGGAACTCCACATTCAGCGAGTGCTCGAGAGATCTTCCGCGTGTTCTCTGCTCTTCTCCTCCTTGCCATCATCCTTCATTCCTCTCCCTACCGCCGGCAACTTGTCAGCTTCCCTTTTCCCGTCGTTCGCCTGCCACTGCGGAGGTAAGTGGTTGCTTTTTTTTTTTTTTTTCCGTTGCCTCTCTGCTGTGAGGCTGTCTGTGGTGCGAGAGGAAGGTTTACCCAACTCCCTTTCTTCAATATATATTTTAGGAGATAGTTCATTATTAAAGTAGCGGTACAAAGAAGTGGATGGACCATGCTCGCATAAAATTTCTCTCATTCTACACGTTGATATATATTAGATGGAACTGCATTCTCTTGCAGGTTTTTATTTTCCACCTTCTCCGTTAAGAAGTTGATTTCATTGTTTTGACATTTTCTCTCTGTTTTTTTTTTTTACAAAAAATAAAGGCACCATATTTTGTAGTCTAATCAAAATCTGCAAAATTATCATTGTATTTTTCTTTTTTTCACATGGGAATCTGAAACTCAATAAGCTCCTAGTCTTTAGTTTTAATCCTGGGTACAGATTATATTTTTTTTTTTGGACTTTAAATTACTTGTTTGGTTCCCTCTATTTACTTTTTTCTTTTCTCTTTTTGTTCTTTGTCAAGTTGAAACTTATTCCCATAAATAAGAAGCCTTGCAGTCTTGCACTATTGAATTTCTTCCCAGTAAAATATAATTTCTTAAATTTTATTTATTATTTTGATATTCCCTGGGAGTTACGATGCGTATATAGAGTTTCCTCACTATCACTAATATTCTTTCTTGATTAAAGGTCCATATTTTAATATTATTGTGTTTCTTGGCTTTATTATTATTTTTTTTTTGCACTTTCTCTATCTTTAATAAAATTAAAAACGATGTGCAATTGTTAAAGTTTTTGTGAGCAGCAAAATTCTTGCAGGGAAATGTGAACGTGTACGAGTCAATTTTTTTCCCTCTGTAAATTAAAAACGATGTGCAATTGTTAAAGTATTTGTGAGCAGCAAAATTCTTGAATGGAAATGTGAACGTGTACGAGTCAATTTTTCCCCCCCTTACAGAGGGGAATGTGTACGACTCATTAATAAACGATGACGTCTTGTAATATTTGCCCACTTCTTCAACAAAATTTTGAAATTAAACGAATTTAATTTTCAAATTACATGTGTAAGATTGTATTTTGACAATAATAATCATATTTGAAAACTTTTTTTATATCAAATAATTTCATGTAAATAAATATCTATTTTAGGAAAAAAATTCTTTACTTGATACATATTGATTGCAAATATTAATGTGTGCAATTAATTAGAGTAGTTTTTAATATACTCCACTAGGTCTATTTATAGGATAGTGGGAAAAGATTAACTCCTTTTTTACAGGACACTTCACTATTTTTTATATTCACTTTTACTTTTATGCCCTTATTAAATATTAAAAAAATTATTTAAAATAATTTTTTGTCCTTATTATGGATAGAAGTAAAAACTTTAATTTAATATAAAATTAATAAGGTTTAAGATTTTCTTTTATTATAATAAAATATGTTAGAAGTGACTTATAAATAAGACTTAAAGGAGTAAATGATTAAAAGGAAGGGAATATTTTAGGAAAATCAACACAGAATTTTTATAATAACCAACTTAAACAATTTCCTAATCTATGTGAAATAGTATATCTTGCTTCTTCATTGATGATGGGAAGATACGTTAAAAAATTGATGATGGGAAGGCATATATGATTTTGCAACAAGATTTAAGGTCAGTGTACATGTTCAATTTCTTTAATCCATTGACTTAAGCTCATTTTTGCTCCTTGGGGAGGAATGCTTAGCCAGATACCAAGTCTTTAGACTATCCTGAGTTTCCTATTATCATATACCATCCCATGTACTGCCAATCCTTCTTGTGATCTTCATCTACCTCGGCATCTCATGGAACTTCTCCTATAAGCAACATGGTTGGATTTTACTTGTGATTCCAGTAATGATACTAACCTTACATTGTTGGTAGTTTCCAAGGATGTGTTTTAGCAGTTTAGAAAAAAACTTTTGTAAGCTCTATTTGGAGATGAAAATCCTAATAATATGATCATCATGCAAAGTTTCATTGAGTGTTCATAATTTTACAACCACAATAAATGTCATTAGTTATGCCCTCATAGCACTACATATACAGAAACTCATGCACATCATCTGATCGTGTGGCAAAATGTACATGAGTTTTGTTTTATCTAACAACTAATGCACATCAGCAATATGTTTATTTTCAAAAAATATGTTTGCCTGTGTAATTATAATTCTATCTTATGCTTTTATTTTTTTCCATGTGCAGAAATGCTAAGCCAAATACCATGTCTTTGGACTATCCTGATTTTCAACGTATATATGTAAAGCAAATCTGTGATGATCCTAGCCTCACAAGAAATCTTGTCCACAGAACCACATGCTTGAAGCTTCCACCATCTTAGTGGCAATCTTCATCTTCCCCGTCAGTTGATGTTCTATGAGGAAGTTATCAAAAGTGCAGATGAACTGTCACCACCATCGATGGCTTTATCTTAATGCATTCAATTGATCCGTTAGAATAGGTGAAGCATTGGCAATGTTTCAACCTTTGTATCGATATTTCTATGACAACGCAGGAAAGCCAGAGATGCTGTGAAAGGCTAATTAGCTAAAAAAAGCTTTGTATAGCAAAAGTCCCGAAGCTCAACTTCATTCAGCCAAGCCTCGATGAGCATGTATATCTTCATGAAATTCTTGACACTTGTATTCATCAAACCAGAATGTCGTTTTACTGAAATGATCTGTTCATCATCTGCTAATTTTCTAGCTGTGAGAAGTGTTGACGAACAGAAGCAATGGAGATCATGTTCATAATCGAAGACTGAGTGGCACACCTGGAAAATCTCTGAACTAGAAGAGCTTGTTAATTGCTGTCCTGCTACATTTTCTGTGGGATCTATTGGAGATTGGAGATTTATATGACATGTTTGTATATATATTGATTTGTTCATTTAGAAAATAGAACTCCACAAGTGGCAGAAGAATTCAAATGGAAAATTTTCCTATGCGCAGTTTTTCCCCCTTTTTGTACTTTTGGAATATAATGCTCTACTACATTAACTTGTGTGTCTTATAACATGCACACTTGAAATCAGGTTGTACTTAGAAAATTATTAAATAACGACCCTATACTATATGAATCTTTTTGATAATATATATGCTAATATCATTTTTAGTGAAGTTTGTTCTGATGTCTCACAATTAAATCTACTACCTTCATACCTTCATTTTAAATTTTTTCTTGAATTATGACTTATTCCTTTCGTCTCAAATTATAAGACATTTTTAAGGAAAATTCAGTATCCCAAA